GTGGTTATTCATCAGATAGATAATGTAAATATAAAAAATGAATTTAATTTTTGAAAATTCATGAGGTACATGAACTACAACGCTTCACGCCGGCATATTTATCATGAAGCGCTAACGCGCTTCATGAAATATGCCGGCGTGAAGCGTCATAGTTCATGTCCTCATGAATCTTCAAAAATTACATTCATTTCTTAAAGATATTGCCGATACAAATCTTTATGCTTATTATCGTTGTTGTTCGTGGGTGTGGCCAATATGAAATTTGATTTTATATTTAAATTTTGATGCATCAAATAATCACTAATTTGTGAATCAATCGTTAACATTTAATTCATACAACAATAAAAAATTATAAATTTCACAAAATATGCGAAAAAAGCAATTCATTGTTCGTTTAAAACGCTTATTGTGGGGAAAAAACCTCAAGAATAAACATTTTCTAAAATAAATATCTGGCAAAACATGGTTTTTATCGTGAATACATGTAGGTCCATTATATATGACGTTACTAATAATACGTCAGTTGTGACGTCATAAAGGCTCTAAACTATTTGGAATGTTGCTGAAAAGTTTTTATGCTCTGGAATGTTGTCATTATTTGTATGATTTCAGTCAAGCTGGATGATACCATCAAATCATTAATTATATTTATCAGAAATTCACGCCAAATTGTTTTCTTTACTGCCCTTAACACCCCCACCCCACCTCCACAATGCCTGCTTTTTTAAAGCTGTTATTAGACCTACAATTTTATATTTAAGCATTTTTGTTATTTATATATTTATTTTTATTTATTTATTTTTGATATTCTTGTGACAATTTTAATAATGTTGTGCGTGTTAACAGACGTGACTCAAATTGTAAACAAATTAAAAGAGAATGTAGCAAAGATATCACGCTAAACCTCTGTAAAACAAACGAAATAATAAAAACATAGCTTGCTGTGCAAAGTGAAAATTTAAAAAAAAAATTAAAAAACGCATTTGGATAATCATCTACATTTCGGCTAAACAGAATCTAGGTCACGGGCACGGGTTCATCAAGTGCAAGTGTTTTGACGAAACTCGATACACACACACGTATTCTATAACTATATTCTTTTGTACCAGCATATATAAGCTATCGATATAATAACTGTATTTTAAAAATCCTCTGAGATGATTCTTATGCATGTAACACAAAAGGGTGAATTTCCATCTTGCTTCAAAAGCATATATATTTTTCAATATGTCTGCATTTAATAAATTCGAAGTGAGGATATTGATGATGGATGTGTACATATAACACATAAGTGATTTTGTCATCATTTGTGAAACATAATTCAGTTATACCCCAGTGAGCAAAAATGCATAAAGTGCTCCAAATGTTTTATTGTTACTATCACAGTATAAGTAATTTATGCCTCTGATCGTCAAATAGTTGGGGGTAGTGGTTTTAAATCTATTTAGAAAACATAAAGAATAGAAAATAAATAAAAAAAAAATACACAACATATAAATTACTCTTAAGTTTTTTTTTTTTTTTTTTTTATCTGCCTCCATTTCTTTATTGCGACTGTAAGTATGCAGTTTTGTTTTAACTAAGAATTCAGCACCATGAAATCTCATAGAGAGAGAAAGAGAGAGAGATTCCTTAAAATGTTTTTAAAACTCAATACAATAAACCAAGAATATAATCTTTGAAACGTATGGGCGTAAGTTGTTTATAGCTGGTTATTTTATACCCAACGAAGTAGATTTTTTTTTATAATACATGAAATAATAATATTTTTAAATCTATTGTCAGCTTATTCTGGTATAGTACACTCGTACCTCCTTTCTCAGTATTAATTAATTATTATTATCATGATATGTAGAAAGGACTTATCAGGGGGATAGATCCAAGACTTCCAGTTGAGGTTGAAAAAAAGGGGGGAGGGTCACAAACTAATGACAGCAAAACTTGCAATTAATGTAATTATTTAAAGTTTAATCCCATAAGTTGTCTTGAATTTAAATTTCTTTATTGTTTATTAATAGAAATCAATCTAGAAATTGAAAATTGCTTTATACTTCCCTACTCCTCTCATTTTTTTTCTCAGTGAGAAGGGGAGGGGTGCCTGGTGCGGCGCCACCACTGTGTATATTTCATAAAGAAAACTGAAACGAAAATATAGGGACAGCTCTTATTAGTCCCCTACCGGTGAAACCGGAGGGGACTATAGGTTTCCTCCGAGTCTGTCCGTCCGTCTGTCCGTCCGTCTGTCTGTCTGTCTGTCCGTCTGTCTGTCTGTCCCTCTGTCTGTCTGTCAGTCTGTCCCACTTGGTTTTCCGCACTTTTCTTCTAAACGCTTGCAGATATTGAGCTGATTTTTGGTATGTGAGTGTATCTTGATGAGTTACAGATCAAGTTTGCATTTCGTTCCGCTTCAATGATTTTTGACGGAATTACGACCTTCTCAGTTTTTCAGGGTTTTCCGCACTTTATTCCTAAACGCTTGCAGATACTGAGCTGATTTTTGGTATGTGACTTTACCTTGATGTGCTATAGATCAAGTTTGCATTTCATTCCGCTTCATTGATTTTTGACGGAATTATGGCATTTTCAATTTTTAACGGGAACCAGATTACACTTGCCGGTAGGGGACTAGTATTGCTAATGCAATACTCTCAGGATGCTTGTTGTTTCTGCGGGTATTACCTTTTTAAGCAAGATTTTGTTGAATAAAATCAATCTTGCGCTGATTGCAGGACAATAAGACAAGATAAATGAACACCCGTACATGTCTTTCACGTATGACTGACCCACATCATGGCCGTAGGAACGGGGGGGGGGGGTGAGGAGGGCCGTGCCCCCCCCCCCCAATAATTTTGCCGATATATAGATTACTATAGTAAACATAGATATTATACGCTTGTGCCCCTCAATAAAAACGTCTGATGACTTTTTTTTTTTTGCTTGTCAGGAAATTTTTGGTAGTGCCTCCTCAACTGTCAACTGAAAATGTATGGCTTGTGCCCCCCCCCCCCCCCCCCAACTGAATTTGCTTCCTTCGGGCCTGCACATATCAGCAATATTAATGCAGCTCTACTCTTTTTATAAACCATAAAAACCATTATGTGCAATGAAATCGAAAGTAGGAATTTTACACTATAGTTACGTATGCTTAAAACGAATATTTGCTCAAGTTTAATTATTTTGTACATTTACATGAAAAAAATCATATACTTTTCGCAGATTTCTATCTTTACAAACTCCTTGCAGTTAAGATATTTGGGAGAGAAATATTCGAATATTTTGCAAGAGAAGAGGGGGGGGGGGGGGTCTAGCAAATATCGATAAATATATAATAATGAACAGGGCTGATTTATTTTCTGCTTTAGCCTTAAATTAGTGATTTTTAACAGGTTTATCTTTCTTAAGAATATTTTTTTGAAATGTATTCCATATTATTCCAAAGAAACTCACATTTAGGGTGACAATGAGTTCCGTTTACTTAATAAACCATTCTGATAAGTTGCGACACCCCTTTTCAATTAATCTATGTTTCTGTTTCGAAAACGACGTTCAATTATTGTTACAAATGAATAAATGGATTAGAAACAAGTCTTTCCAACTTTTTACTTCCTCCCTTTTCCAAATTATTTAGAACTTTTATATGTTAAAATACTCTCAAGTTCAGGATTTAAGAATTTCGCATTAAAAGTCTATTTTAGGAATGACTCTAATTCTTGGCCAAATTATTCGAGTATAACCTGGTTTGGGTCAGTTTACGCTTTATAATCCGCGAAGCGGATTATAAAACAGCGTAAACTGACCCAAACCAGGTTATACTCGAATAATTTGGCCAAGAATTAGAGTCATTCCTTATAATTTAATTCTAAAATCATTAAACAAATGTGAGTGTAAAATTTCGTTGCTTTTTATTAGTTCAAATTTGCCGCTCAATAATACAACCCTAGTAACGGAAGTGATGGGAAGCAAGGGGAGGTAAAAACTGATACATAGTCCTAGCAGCCATGTTTTTTGTTTGCATGTGGTTAGATCCGAGTTACTGTTTGAAGCTAAAGGTACATTTATTAAATCTGGAATTTTCCATGAATCCCGAGGACTGGAAATGAGAGCATTGCATGGATACAGACGATTCAGCTGGTTGTCAGGGGGGTGTGTCCCCATACCAAACCAGGTTATACAGAAATAATTTGTGTTCCTTTTTGGATATTAACCAATCAGAGGCTAGAATACAAACAAAATTAAATTATTTCCATTTAAACAATTTTTTTTGCAATAACTTCTATCTAGTTATTGAATTACATTGTAGTTCTTCAGTTTAGAAACTTTCGTTTTAAGATCATTTCAGGTATCTTGTTATTTTTTTTTTCCTGACTGCCCTCTTCCCCACTTTGAAAAACAAACTTCGTGCCTGGACACGCATTCTAAAGATCAGCTAATATTTGCAGGCGTGTAGGAAAAAGTCAGGAAAACTAAGTTGGACAGGCTATCGTCATTTGAAGCAAGTCGTATGTTTTTTTAAATGATGTTCAATACTCAATACTTACATGTAATTAGGAGCGATGCATCGCACAAAAATGTGTTCAAGGGATAGAAATACAATGTTCCTTCTTAAAAATTATATTAGCATAGGGACCAGGTAGAGTGAAAACTTTCCGAGACAGTAACACAGATTATTTTTACTGTATATGTATCTATAAATTTCAATCAGTTAAACACGCAGTTGCCATCAAGACTGCGATGTGAAATCAATTTCCAACTGTTCTTAATTGTCTTAAATTAATTATGAAGTTTATTAGTAAATGTCTATCCCAATTAATACTAGTTTTAATTCAGAATCACATATGTAAAATCGCTCAAGGTAATTTTTCCGCCCTACGACGTTACGTTTCAAAAAATGACGTTCTACTAGCATTTTTCTTTTAAAACACCGTCATACTTCAAACTCTCTTTTTCAAAAAATATAATCGATATCGAAAAAAGAAAAACGGCAAAGAAAAGTTAAAAGTCTACACTATCAATTGACAAAACCCCGTTACTTTTTGAGACAGGGCCATTTTTGATGGTTCGTGGCTCTTGCTCTTTGCCAAGTCACACAGATGATCCTCCATAATCTCGAAACGCTCTTGTTCAAGGCGAATTGGACCGCTCCAACGCGTTATCACAGCACCGGCATTGAGTATTTCGTTTGTCTGCATATATTGAAGTAGGCGGCGTCCTGCACCGTGCTCACCATCATCCCAGTATCCCTCACATAGTTTTCCACTGGTTTCCATAAACCTATAAACCAGGATGCGGTGATCAGCTGCTGCAGAATATGCTTCAAGTTTAGGAATTAGATCCTGTTACCTTTTACGGTCGGGCATACAAACGTTTACGTTCCTCTAATACAGAAGCCGGTTCTTGGGCTGTTATAAAAAACGGGAGGTTTACATTTTCACTTTTTTAACCTTCTGGGCCCGGAGCAATTCATCTTTTTTAGTACGATCCCTCAGTTTTCCTGTTATGGAAACAGGTCTCGAGTTGACGACCCCCTATCACCGTTTCTGTGGATACGTACAAAGTCGACCTCCAAATCAAGAGTTTCCAATAGAACTTCAGGGACACGTTTATTTAGGTTTTCACCCTGGATGTATGCAAAATTGTGTATAAGGATGTTATCCCGCATTGATCTGGAGCGTAAATCAGTAATTTCTGACTCCATGAGATTGATTTTTCTGTCCATTTTTATAAGCATGGCACGTAGCAAATCCACTTCTCTACGTAACTGAGCATTTAAATATGCTGGTACCCAAAGAAAGGTTTTATCACAAGGAATACACATATGAAATATGAAAGCCATAGCTCCAACCAATCAAAAGTTATGGGCAAGGTTAAGGTTTTTGCGGACTTACAAACGGATGGACAGGGCAAAAAACTATATTCCCCCAAATCTTGGATACGGGGGCATAAAAATAGGCATGCAGTATTTATTTACCCCCCCCCCCCCCAAAAAAAAAAATAGAAGAAAACTAAACACAAGTGTGTTTTGTTTTAGTCCCTGTCTAAGTTTACAGATAATCTTTCCACTTTATCTGAAGAATGTTTAGTTTCAAATGAATTTTGTCTTTAAGATTTGTACATGTACAAGTATATATTACAACTACAAGCGTTTTGTCATTGACAAAGGTGTACATGTACAAAATAATACTGGTATTGCTGTTAAAGTCATTTACATCTATTACACACATGTAACAGAGTTACTCTTACTTAAATATTATTTGACAGCTCATATCGTAGCAAAGCCATGATTTGTCATTTTAATAAAGAAGCATTTTGTGGTAGTGTAAATCAAGTTCGTACAACACATGTCCCCCGGGTAGGGTACGGCAGGGCAACAACAGGGGATAAAAGTTTTACATAGGTATATATACGAGGGGTTATCAAAAAGTTCGTGGACTGACGCGATAAAATTAATAATATGTAGTCTTTGCTTACAAAATTTAAGCGGAACATAAAACAACAAAAGTTTAAGAAATGTTGAAAATTTTAGCTTGATACGGTGATAATTTGCCAAATTATTCTAAAATTAAAAAGACTTTATGTGATCACCCGGCGCTGTCGCCGTTTAGTGTCATGACGTCCGCTTAACGTCATTGTTTCTTAATGTCCGCTCTCTCTACCTCATACAATTATCTTGATGAGATTACCTGGAGTTAAGTAAGGACTTAAACCCGTCTTATTTATATGAATTTACAATGTCTTGAGCAGCTGTTTTCAATGCATATAATATTGTAAATGGATCTTTATATGGGGAAAGATCCTCACCTGATTATGCCAGAATACTTAGCTTGTTGGAGTTCAATTTCTACCACACATGATCAATGTCACTTTTCGACGTGACTGACTTTTGAAACTCTGACTACAAATCGACACTAACTGTGCATATGTCATCTCTCTGAATCTTTTTGGGCATTAAAAACAAGTACTCTGGATGCATTTTATTTTTCTGTAGCCAGTTTAAACATTCCTTAGGTCAATACCAGTTTTTCCAGGAGCGAAACTCTATAGAGTGTTTGAAAAAGAAACCCCTCCCCCTTTTTGACGTTATTTTCAAGCCCATAATTGTTTGGACACTCCATATAAAATTTACGATAAAATTTCATAGAAATTACAGAATGGGGTAAAAATTGCAAATTTTACTGAACAAATGTGTCGTACCACATGCCTGAATTAACGAGATTTTTGGATGACAAATACTCATATCTAAAGAGTTTTTCTCAGTTATACTCAGGTAGAAAAAAACGTCATATTAGAGGTTGCGCCGCCTGGACATACCTTTGCTTACAAAAACACTAACAATTTATTAAAAAATAAAAATTATGATTTATGGTTTATTCTATAGATAGAAAAGATGATGCTAACTAAATGTGTAAAAATTCATTGATGTACCTAAAGCGGTTTTAATTTTATGACGCTAGTCCACGAACTTTTTGATAACCCCTCGTATATATACAAAGCAAAGCCATTGTGAGTCATATTAATTCAGAAGCATCCTCAGGTAGTGTAGATTCAAATTTGTTTAAATCATGACCCCAGGGGGTAGGGGGCCACAAAAGGGAATCGAAGTTTGATGCAGGGTTAATCATATTAATACATAAGCATCTAGTGTTATTAAATTTAAGTTTGTTCAAATCATAACTTCGAGGGTAGGGTGGAATCACAACAGGGGATCCAGATTTTACATTGGAATATATACAAAAAGTTTTTAAAATCTTTTTCTTAAGAACAACAAAGCTTTGATTAGTCATAATCATCCTCAGGTTGTGTAGATTCAATTTTATTCAAATCATGACCCCCTGGGCTAGGGCGGACCACAATAGAAGATCAAACTTTTACATAGGAATATACAGGGGGAAAATGTTTAAAAATCTTTTTCATCTCAAAAACAGCAAAACCACAATTAGTTATATTAAAATGAAAACACCTGGGGAAGTGTAGATTTAAGTTTGTTTAAATCATCCCCCCGGTGGTGTAGGCACTGAAATATTTGGACTTTTCAATACTTACATATAACTGATTTTTAATTTTTCAAGCGGTAGCTAAAGTCCTCACGTGAGCGATGAAGCCTATGGACCTCTTGTTTCTGATCTAGTGATTTTTAAAAAAAAGATCTCGGCCCTTATTTTTTCTCTTCTTGGACTTTCCTTTGAACTATTTCGAATCCCTCTCAGGCTTTCGCCCAATATTGCTTTTTCTAAACTTTGGTTAGAATTAGTTGAGGGATTCTCAAGAAGTTGAAAATGAGAAAAAAAAGTTTGCATGCGGATATATACTTTAAGAATGATGGACGCCAGTTATCGGGTAATCAGAAAAGCTGATTTAAGCTTTCAGCTCAGATGAGCTAAAAAAAAAAAAAGGAACTCCTTACATGTACGAGGAAGAGGAGAGGTACAAGGGGTTGTCATGGTGAAGACAACACAGGGGGAAAAGGAGAAAGAGGAGGCGTCTTAGAGTGAATCGGAGGTAATAAAGCTGACGTTCTTTTTCTGGAATGTCATGTTTAGTCCTTCACCCGTATTAGATTTTATTCATTCCATTTCTTTGTGTTTATAATTGCTTTATTCTCAGATTTCAATAACTTAGAATTAAAAGAACCCTGACGTGGGCGCCATTGGTACCCAATAGTAGAACAACTAAAAGACTTGTTCAGGTTTACAAACTTTTAATAAAGATGATAACCCCCCCCCCCCCCCCGAAATATTAAAAATACACTAAACATATAGACGACACAAAACAGATATTACAGACGAACATTTAGACAGATAATTAAAACATGCTAGACTTTATAACATAAATCATTTTATAACTCCAGTTCTTGTCGGGACACGCTAAGTATCCCGTATATTTAGATAAAGCCTTGAAATCCCAAAGGTAGGTCATCATGACCTTCATTTTAGGTGAAACACTTTGAAAACCCAAAATGATGCAAAGCCAATTAGTACCTGAAAGTGGATCATGGTAATCTACTTATCACTTGTCATTCTCTGAGGATCCAAGATGCATCAACTAAGTTTGATGATTCTAAGCCAAATAGTACCTGGAATATTTATATAGCCATAGAATTTCAAAAGTAGGTCACAATGACCTACTTTTCAGTTAACGTACTCCGAGGACCCAAGATGCAACAACTGACAAAGTTTGATGATTCTAAGCCAACTAATAAATAAAATACTTAATTATAACCATAAGATTTCAAAAAAAGGTCACAGTGACCTACTTTACAGTTGACATACTTTAAGGACCCATTATGCAACAACTGACAAAGTTTGATGATTCTAAGCCAATTAATACCCGAAAATATATTTAATCAGGTCACAGTGACCTACTTTTCAGTCGACGTACTGAAGCACCCATGATGCATCAACCAACACAGTTTGATGATTCTAAGCAAATTAGTATCAGAAAATATTTAAATATAGCCATAAAATTTCAAAAGTAGGTCAGAGTGACCTACATTTAAGTTGACATACTCCGAGGACCAAAGATGCATCAACTGACATAGTTTGATGATTGTAAGCCGATTAGTACCTGATATATTTGAATAAAGCCATAAAATTTCAAAAATAGGTCACAGTAACCTACTTTTCAGTTGACTAACTCTGCAGACCCAAGATACATCAACTGACAAAGTTTGTTGATTCTAAGCCAATTATTATCTAAAAATATTTAAATACAGCAATAAAATTTCAATAGTCAGTCACGGTGACCTTCGTTTCAGTCAAGGTACTCTGAAGACCCAAGATGCATCAACTGACAACGTTTGATGATTCAAAGCCGATTAGTACCTGATATATTTGAATAAAGCCATAGAATGTCAAATAGTACCCAAAATATTTAATTATAGTTATATAAATTGAAAAGTACATCATGGTGACCTACTTTCAGTCGACCTACTCTGAGGACCCGAGATACACCAACTGACAAAGTTTGATGATTCTAAGCCAAATGGTACCCAAAATATTATATAGCCTTAAAATTTCAAAAACAGGTCACAGTGACTTACTTTTCAGTTGAGTTTGTTCGAGGACCCAAAATACACCAACTTAAAAGTTTTATGATCATAGGCCAAGTCCAAAATATGTCTCTAATACGCTTTGAAATCGAATGCCTGCAAAGTTAAAAAAAGTAGGTCACTGTGACCTACTTTTAAATAAATATGTTTTATGGCCCCAAGATGCATCATCTTACAAGATTCAATGATTCTAAACCTCTCAGTATTTGAATTAATGGCCTTAAATGTTTTGAAAAAGATAAGTCATAAAATTCAAAAAGTAGGTCGTGAAGACCCAAGATCCATCAACTGACAAAGTTTGATGATCAAAGGCCTTTAATTGTTCAAAATATGCCTCTAAATTAGGGATGGCAACGAATATTCGAACATTCATTCAATGCGTTGATATTCCCATATGAATTTAAGATTCGAATATTCGGTGTTTTTCAGATTTCATAAAAAGAAGTACTGTGATTAATAAATTTTGATTAGAACAGTGCTTGGATTATCCCTGTTAGCGATCAATTTCTTTCACTACTTTCTTACCTTATAAATATACTAAATTACATGTATTTTGTTTTGAGTAAGGTGTTAAAGAATTGTACGAAAATGCTTTATGCATAATACAAAACGTACTTTTATAGTTTTTATTAGTTAGATACGATCGGATCTAGAATCGAGGACAAAAATGA